AAAATTCACTAATTTAAACTGAAGTGTTTAAATTTTTATCATCACTGCTGTCACCAATAGCAGTACACATCACAGAGATTGTGGAAGTGATCTACTCCCCCGGGGAGGTAATATAATATTGGGAGCCCATAAGGTTTAGAAAAAGAGTATTTCCAAAGAACAGATACTTGTGTACGACTTTACTGAAAAGGTAAGAAACAAATACCTCAAAGGAAAATATTTCAAATAAAGTAGCAATCAGTATCTTCTATGTTCATTTACTATTTCATTGTTAAATGTACTATATTTAGAATAACTTCACACATATATAGAAATTCACAAAACTAACATTTTGTCTAAATTTCAGGACTATCTATCATAGTTGGATTCCTGGAATTCCAATTTCAATACAAACAGAAGAAAGTTGGCTTCAAGAGTTATATAAACTAAAACAAGGGAGTGAGTAATTTGATTTCTTAACTTCTGTTGGGAGAGGGGATTATAAGTTGGAAAGGGTACAGGTATGGGCAGCCGGTAGAACCAGCTTGGAATTCCAGATCAAACACAAACTAACCGTGTGATTACTTGGACAAGTTAGTTAAATTCATTGAGGCTTGGTTTCTTCATCTATTGCAAATAAATACCTCTGTTATAGAATTGTTGTAAATATCAAAGTAAGTTTAAGTATTTAAATCCTTGACACTCAGTCTTTCATAAATGCTAATATTTATGTTCACATCAAGAACTAATCTGCCTTTATATTTTAAAACATACGGTCGTCACCTTCTTAGCACAGTGGGGCAGGCGTCAGTCTCATATTTTAAAACATACATATCGTAGCTTTTATTCCAGAAGTAACAGATAACATGCTATTTTTCAACTGACAATTCATTAAAAAATACATATTGTAAAGATTAAATTGTAACTTACCTCAGGATAGTCCTCAGAATTAATCATTATGAATAACTTTCCTTTTCTTCTGTTCTGTGTTCTATCACTTAATCAGCAAATGTTTATTGAGCACCTGCCATAAGTCAAGTCCTATTCTAAGAAAATGCAGTTAACAAATAAAACAGTTTCCTAAATGATCTACTGAAGTGTGGGACATGGAGGTGATGGTGAAATAGACAAGATAAGTGGTGGTGTATTAGTGCCAAGGAGAAAAATAAAGATAGAAAATGTCAGGCAGGATGTGTACAAGCTTACAGAAAGTGGTCAGGGAAATTTTTTAGAGAAACTGAAGTATTTGAGCAAAAACTCAAGGAAATGTGAGAGTGAGCCATGATGATCTCTGGAGGGTAAGTGTCCCAAGGGAGCCTCCTACTAAAACAAGGAGCAACACAGAATGGCTGCCGTGGAGTCAGTAAGAAGGTAGATCTTAGTACTCAGAGACAAGGAGGAGCAGTTGTTTTCACTCAGAATGAAGTGGAAGGGTTAGGTTTTCCCCAGAGGAATGACATAATTAGCAGAGAAACATACCAGATATTAACAAGATATTAATTATTCCCTAATTAATCTATATATTCAAGTCACTTTGATGTGAATTTTTTCGCTGGAACTAGAAGTTGATTCTTTGGTTTTGCTTTGCAGTGTTAAGATAAATTGAGGCATTTCAAATTAATTTTATTTGTGCAAACATGGATTGAAGTTAGGCAGTGCCAGACTGGCAGTGTGATGAGTACTCCACAGAAGAGGGCTAAGGGACAGATTTTTAAATAGAAAAACATGGGATCACAGCAAAAATTAATTGATCTGTTTTAGTTAATTACAGTATTTGCGAAGATTTAGCTGGCTGTTTGTGGTTGGTTGTTCTTAATCTTGAGGCGGTTGCAGAAATTGACTAGTTTAGCTTTTTGATTACTTAATGTGTGTAAGCCACCTCATCTGAAGGTCTCCTTGTTTAACTTAGTGTAACTCCTTTTTTTTTTTTCAGGTCTCCTTTTATAGTTGCTTTTCTCCTTGTCAGTTTCATTTGTAGTTTATAGTTTTTTCTGTGTAATTTAGTCTTTTATTGATGTAATAATTGGAATCTCTTTCCTGTTATATTTTCTAGCAGTTATTCTCAATGTTTAGGAAAACTACTGCCTTCTAAGTATTAATCTTTTACCTAGGTTATCTCTTATACCCCACTGCTGAACTTTCTTATCTAATATATTTTTAGTTGAATATCTACTAGCCAGTTATATTTTCTGTGAATTATGTCATTTTATCTTTTTTTTTTTTTTTAAAGATTTGTACATACAGAACTGGGGTACAGGCCAGAGGTGCAGGGTCGGTGAGAGGCCTCACCAAAGACAAAGTGGGGAACAGAACAGCCTGACTGACAAAGTACATTGCTGAGGGCAGCAGCAGGCAGATCGGGAGAGGTCTGCTGCACTATGTGGGTCACCTCTGGGGCGGGGATCGAGCTCATGCTGAAGTGGCTTTAGCTTCTCAGTGCTGTGCTTTAACTCACTGCGCCACCAGGGAGGACCCATGGCATTTTATCGTTCCTTTATTTTTCTACTTAGTAGTGTGTCATGAGCCTGCCCATGTCCAGGAAGATGTAATTCTTGGAAACAGCTGTGTTATTGTACAAGGTTATTGTGACTTATATAAGTTGTATTGGTTTGGTTTTGGTTTTGAACTCTTTATAACAAATAATGTCTTCATGAAAACCTTTTTGCATTCATTTTGTATACCTGCACTGACATTTCTGTTTGACAACATAGCTAAAACATATTTAATGTTCTGATAATCTTATAGCAAATATGTTCCTTCTGAAGCCTGGCTCTTTCCAGTAACAGACCTTGTCTTTACTGCTGGGAAAAGGGTCAGTCCCTCTCTTTACCATTGTCCTCTAATAGGTTGTTCTGATTGGTTTTCGTCATTTCAGACTGCCAAGTCTTAAGATATTTACTCAAGGTTGCTCATATGCTAATGGCCTTCTTCCCCATTTCCAGAATTTCAAGGGGATAATGCCAATAATTTATTTCAGTGCCTTGAATTGGAGGTACTCTCACTCCCACACCAACATTTCTATTGGAAAAGTTATTTACAAAATAACAGATAAGGAGTTGATAGAATAGTTCTTTTTTTTTTAAGATTTATTTATTTATGCATACAGAGCTGGGGTACAGGCTAGGTGCAGGGGCAGTGAGAGGCTTCACCAGAGACAGCGTGGGGAGCAGAAAAGGTTGACTGACGAAGTACACTGCTGAGGGGAGCAGCAGACAGGTCAGGAGAGGTCTGCCACGCCATGTGGGTCACCTCTAGGGCGGGGATTGAACTCATGCTAAAGTGGCTTTAGCTTCTCAGTGCTGTGGTTTTACCCGCTGTGCCACCAGAAGGGCCCAGTTGATAGAATAGTATTTTTTTTAAAAGCAGGGAGCAAAAACTATAGAAACCATGATTATAGTCAAGTAAAATATGCATTCATGTAATCTAGGACTAGAAAAGAACAGGGGAATATTTAAAATGTGATATACTAATGGTGTTATATTAATGGTGAGTTTCCTCTGTTCCTTAATGATAAAGTGTTGTTTGGTAAAAGGCAAAAATTAAAAGACCAATACAAAAGTATTTCCAAGAGATATTTTTTTATATATATTAAACTTTGTTCCTACATTGTCTGAATTGATGACAAATGTTCACTCATTTTACAGAGAAGGAAACATTCCCTGAAACACAGAAAGCTGAACCTGAAAATCTGGCTTCTAAGTTAAGAGGTAAATGAAATGATTCCCACTGCCAGCAAAGGCAAACTACCATTAAGGAACTAAACTTAACTTGGACAAGCTCACTCCCTTAAAAAGCCCTCTCATGAGAACAGACATGAGAAGGTGGGAAAACGATAGTGTTTGAAGACATTTAAACAATATTTGAGGGACAGGGATCTCAAGCTAGAGAAAATGGAATACACTGAACAAAAGTTTTAAACTTTCCTGCTAAATCTATCATTTTCCCTTTAGAAAAATGGGCAATTAATCCAGATGACACCAAGCTGAATATTTTATGTGAGCTGGAGGTAAGAACTGTTTATCTGTCCAATTAGTTAGTATATTATACCCAGGTAAATTTTAAATCACTTATTCAATCTTCAATGTTCTCTCCCTTCCCCTTTCTCTCTCTTTTAAAACTTAGTTTAAGGAAGACTTCATAACACTGTTTGAGCCTTCTCTAAGAACATTACCCAGCGTTGGGCCACCACCCATTCTGGCATACAAACAAGAGAGTTCCAACTTAAACATCACATTAAAGGTAATTTTAATACATGTTCTTTTTTATTGTTACTGTAAGAAATGATTTCCACAAAAGATACTGAGCATTATTTAAAAAAAAAAAAACAGGCAAATTGCTCATTTACTAGAATAATATTTGGGGTAGCTATATTTGCAGGCGAAGAACTCATTTACTAGAATAATAATTGGTATAGCTATATTTGTTTTCTAGGTCTCCTGTAGCAAAGCACCACAAAGTGGGTATCATAAAACCACAGGAACATATTGTTTCACAGTCCTGGAGGATAGAGGCAGCAAGCCCAGCCTCTAGCGGAGATTACTTCTTTGCCTCTTCCTAGTTTCTGGAGGTGATCATCCATCCCAGCATTCCTTGGTGTGCAGCTGCCACACACTCTGATGATCTCTGCCTGAGTTGTCCCAGTGTTCTTTATCCAAATATCCCTCTACTCTAAGGTCACAGTCACATTGCTTTGGAGCCTACCCTAATGACCTCATTTTAACTTACTATACCTGCAGATATCACATTGATAGGCACCAGGAATTAAATTTCAGCATGTTTTGGGGGGACAATTTAACCCATAACAGTAACCATAAAGCCTGGAAGAACAAGTGAATATCTGCCATGACTTAGTTTCATCACCCAGCTGAAGGACTGAAGGAATGGCAGGCCAAGAGTTCACTACCAAGGCCCTTATATTAGCAGGTTATAAATGATCTGGCATTTTCAGCCTCATGTCATGCCCTGCTCCATAATGAGGTAGCCATGCTCTCTCTATGTCAAGACTTTACTTCCCAAGTGTTCCCAAGTATACATGCTCTCAGCATGTACTTGTAGTTTCTGTGACAATTACGTGCCTTGGTGATGTTCATGATCCGATCTGGAAGTTATGATCTGGGGTTTTTCCTAGAGATCTGTGCTGAGTGAGGCATGGCTGCTCACCTGCCCCAGAGCCTCTGCAGCTTCAGAGCACTGGCATGACCATAGTGCATCAACCCTGTGAAGTCCCCTGCACCCTTAACTACTAAGCTCCTTTTTGCTTTACCTAGTCTCCCACTTGCCCTCCTGTATTACCTCCACAGCATAGAACAGATCATTCAGAGCCCCAACCTGGACTTCTTGAAAAATAAATCTACTTTAGAAACTTAATTATTATAAATGTTACCTACATAATCATGTATACTTTTTCCTACCTCATAATTCTTGAAAGAGTTTATGGTAGACCTTTGCATAAAATCAAGTATGTGTCTTGATTCTGTTGTATATTGTATATTCCCCTTGCCCACAAGGGACTCTAATATCAACAGAAAAGTCATTTCAGCAATTTTCTTCTTCATTAAGGACATATCCCAGTGACCCATACAGCTCCTAGTGGGCACACCTGTACTCTAATGAATTGTGCCAGATAGATGCCCTGAAAATACACTGTGCTCCTCAGTGCTCACCAGTCTTTGAATAGAAATGATATCTGGAATAACAGAACTTACTGCCTTAGTGTATTCTGGTACAGAATCTCAGCTCTCTGTAAACTCCCTACTATTTCTGGGAGCCCCTAAGGTATTTGACAGCAGTTTCTTGAACAGGTTTGCATATTCCCATCACCCCTGCTGTCCTACAGGATGTTTGCCACCCCACACAGAACTCTGGAGCCTTCTGCTTAGAGATCCTCAGTCTCCTCTGAGCACTTTTTCCTTCCCCTTCCTCCTGCCCCCGATTCTCTGAAGGAAGAAGAAGAGGAGATGCCGCTCAAGTGTGAATTTTGTGGAAGCGATTTAAGAACATTTTTTTCTGATGTGGATGTTTGCTCTGACTACAGTAGCTCTGAACCAATGGAATATGTAAGTTTTACAGTGGGTTTTCTGAAGAAACTGCTATTTTAAAACATATATAGTATTTTCCCCTGCAACTTTCCAGCATCAATATGTTTAAAAGAAGTATGTATTAGTCATTGGGATCATAACTAAAATCATTTCACACCTACTAGTATGGCGCTGATTAAAAAGGAGATAAAAAGTATTTGCAAGAATGTAGTGAAAGTGGACCCCATATACACAACAAGCAGGCAATATAAAATGGGACAGCTGCTTTGGGAAATAGTCTGGTAGTTCTTTAAAAAAAGTTAAATATAGAGTTACCATATAATCCAGCAATTCCATTCTTAGGTATATACCCAAAAGAATTAGCAAAGTATGTCTATACAAAACCTTGTCACAAATGTTCATAACAGCATGATTCATAGTGGCTAAAAAATTAAAAAAGCCCAAATGCCCATCAACTGATATAGAAAGTGCTGTGTCTATACAATGGAATACTATTCACCTATAAAAGAAATGAAATACTTATTCATGCTAAAATAGAGATGAGCCTTGATTTCATCAGCTCAGTGACAGAATTCAGTCACAAAGTACATGTTATATGATGCTATTTATATAAACTTATACAACAGGCATATCTATAGATACAAAAAATAAATTAGCAATTGCCAGGTGCTGAGAGTTGAGGAGGTTAGGGAATAACAGTTATTGGTTATAGGTTTCATGTTCTAAAATTGGTTTTGGTGATAATTGCACAACTCTTAATATTCTGAACACCAATGAATTACACACTTTAAATTGGTGAATTGTATATGATTTAGATGTCAATAGAGCTATTAGACCAAAAAAGATTATGATAAATTGCTATCTAAATCCTCTTGCATTTCTGGTTTCCCCCTTCACTCTACCTTCCTAGTAATCTTCATCTAGAACTGATGACATGAAAATGACCACTTTGTTTTTCAGGCTCCTTGTTGTAGTTATTTCCAAAGTCTGATTGACTACATCTATGAGGAAAAACCAAGTACTGAAAGCTCTAAATCTGAATTAATCTGTATTGATCCTCATGCAGCCCATGGTAGTGAAACAGATAGACTCAAAGAAAAAGAAAAAGCCCTTCAGAGGTAACTTGAGCATTTTATATTAAAACTAAAATAGTTCAATCAGAGAGTGTTTTATAAAAATGAACCCTGTTTCTCTAAATACAAAATTTTGAAGATGTGTTCCCAAGTGAAGAAATAAAAATTGGTTAAAACAAACTGTAGTTTGGCCCTCCCTGGTGGCGCAGGTGGTTACAGCACAGCACTGAGAAGCTGAAGACAACTTCCACGTGAGTTCAATCCCCGCCTGCCCAGGAGATGACCACATGGCGTGGCAGACCTCTCCTGGCCCGCCCGCTGCTCCCCTGAGCAATGTACTTCCATGATCTGCCTGTTCTGCTCCCCACTCTGTCCCTGGTGAATCCTTTCACCACCCCTCCACCTCTGGCTTGTACCCCAGTTCTGGATGCATAATAAATAAATCTTTTTTTAAAAAAAAAAAACAAACTGTAGTTCATGGGGGATGTTCTGAGATTCAGAAACTCAGTAAACTCACAATTGAAAGTAGAAATTTATCTACTTTCCCAATTCCAAACCTTCAAAGCAATCCAGAATTTCCTTTGTTACAGAAATCTATACACTAACTGACATACAATGCTTAAATACTAGAGTCACAAGTAATAACAGATAAAAATAGCAAATGATGCAGTTAAAACTTGTAAAATTAAGTTGCTAGATTTGATGCACATTTCAAATTTATGCATCATATCTTTCATTTTGTAGAAAACAAGAGCGACAAATGGCCAAGCATTATGCAGTAATAAAAAACGAACCAGCTAATGTAGCTGAAGAAGGTAAGTCTGTCAACACTGATGTTACAGATCAGTATTATATCCACATTTGACCAAGAGATAAAAATGGTCTGTCTTTACAGTAACTAAGTTTTCATTTCAGATATTGCAGCTATAATGATTCAGAAGATCTGGTGTTTCAGTCAGACCTTTAGAGTTTAATTTAGTCTTCATATCATTGTTGTTATTGATTTAAATAAATTAACATCTATAGAACACTTCACAGCTTTTAAGTTTCATTGTTTAAGTATGTACGTATCCCTTTTTTATTTTCCAACTGGGACATGGAAAGTCTATCCCAAAAAATAGGATTCTTTTTCTTCAGATATTATTCCTGCCATTGAGCTGGCCAGTATAACTGCTATATTAGCACGGTAGAAGAAGAAATGATTTTAGAATCAGGAACACTAGATTTATGTCCTTGCTTTTCTCCTTATAGACTGCCTGTTGTGAGGTAAGTTACTTCATCTTTCCGAGCATCAGCTTCCTCCTCTGCCACTCAGAGAAAGCTATAGAAAACATACTTAAAGAAGGTGTAGCTGTTTTTTTAAACTATATCCCTAACTCTTACTATGCCTAAAGGCAGAAAATCCCACTTAATAAAAATCATTAGTTTTTCTTCTTTTAACAAAGGATTAAGCTCAGTTTTTATCAGAAAAAAGCCTTCAATTTAATGAAGGTCTTCAGTTTTCATACATTAAAAAATTGACAAATCAATACTTGTAATAGAATTTGAAATTTCATTTTAGAAACATGTTTTAGAAAATGTTAAATTTATATGTACTTTTATGTGATTCCTTCCTCAGTTGATGCAAAGCACTTTAAAACGATTTCTTATCAACACTCTCTGGATATTCCAAAAAAACAGGAAGTTGATGACAGCTTCTTTGATTTTCAACTAGAAAAAAGAAACATATCTGTTATTTGTTGTGATTCTAGAATAGCATGTGGAAAGGTAATCAGCCTATAATTCAATTTTTATGTGATACTTTTTAAAAATAATTTTAAGCTAAAATTATAAAAATTGTCATATTGAATGTAGCAAGTTAGTTACATGACACATTTAATATTTGTCAAAAAGAACTGGTACAGACTTGGACTTTTTCTACTAGACTAACAACTCTGTACATATGTTTTGTGATGTGCTAGTTTTACTAAAGCTTTTTTAGTGTAAAATGTGATAATTGTACATAACAAGCATTTGGAATCCTACTAAAGGAGAGAAAATGTTAAAGTGTCAACCACTTCCCCCAAATCATTAATATTTTCTAGACTTGCACTGCCCACTGTAGTAGCAACTACTATATACAGCTAACTACATATAGCTATCTAAATTTAAATTTAAATTAAGTAAAGTTTAAAATTTTATAGTATCAGTAATGCTCCAGTCACACTAGCCACATTTCAAGTGCTATATAGTGGTGCAGTACTATGGTTATAGTGCAGCTCAGATATAGAATATTTTGTCATCACTAAAAGTTATCAGTACTCTTAGACTTTTTTATGCATAGCTTTTTGTTAACACACTTGCTATTTTACATGTAATTTTTATTTTTTTAACTTCATTTTTTCCTTTTATAACTTAATTATAAAAATGTTTTGCATGTTGTTATATAATTTATATTATCTCTGAGGTTTTTCATATCTAGCCAGTCCTGTTATTGGACAAATAAGTTATTAACAATTTATATGCTAACCTAAATAATATTGATTTGAATATCTCTGAATATAAATTTAGTTTTATATAGTATAATTCCACAGAAATTAAATACTGAGACCAGGTTTTTTCTCTTGGGTGATACACAATTTGAGGGGTGGCAATAAATTAAATGCTCAGTGGAATTAATTCTGTCTGGAAAAAGATCATTTATCTAACCCTCAAATTACTACAAATTTTCTTTCAAATTCAGTTACCAACACACATTGCAAATTGAAGTAATCTAACCATGTTTATGAAGATAAAAGTTCAGAATTGATACAAAGAGGGAATAGAAAACTATATGGTCATATAGGTTTGAAAAGAAAAAAGAATAAACTTATATAAATGAAAAAAGACCAAATGCAATTAAACATTAAAAGATGAGAGTTAAAAGCAAGTTAGATCTACCTATATACCTATTTGTATATATTCACCTTGGGGACAGAAAGGGTATATAATATGAAAATGAAATGAAATAGCGCTAAACAGAGATAGAGTGCCAAGTTTTTGGGGGGAGGGTGTGAGGTATAGGGCGACAAGTCACTGTCTAAGGGTTCTCATTTCTGTGTTAAATTGCAATGCCCCACTCAGGCTCAGGACCCAAAAGCAATGGGGTTTATTAACAAACAAAAGATAAGGAAAAGGAAAGAGTTTCTAAGGCCATAAATGAGCAACTGTCTCACCCCAGAGAGTGTCCACAGAATCCAGTAGTCAAACAAAAGCTACTCACATTAGATGGCCCCATCCCGTCAATGAGGACCTAGAGCTGGTGGCACACTGGTCAGCAGGGAGTGCCAACTCAACAGTGGCAGCTGGAGGTGCTCACAGGCGCTGCTGAGGTGACACTACAACAGTCTGAAGGATGGACTGGACAGCACCAGATGCCAAACCAGACAACGATGGACTCAACAGCACCAGGAAGCTGTGCTGGAGAACAAGAGGTGGTGGTGGACAGCTCTCAAAGCTCTCCACAGCTCTGCTAAACCCCATGCAAATAATCTGCTGAATGCGTTTTCTTCTGAGACTAGCTGTTGAATGCTTCTTCTCTTTTCAGAGGATGATTGCTGAATGAAGTCAAGCTGGCTCTTGCTCTGTTTTATATCGTCTTCAGGATCACCGAACCTACAAGCCTGATTGGACCATTTTTCAATCCTAAGTGTCTGATTGGTCTGGTTAGTACCAATCATCTCGCTTTCATTTTCACTCTGCATAATTAGCTTAAGTCCTTGACTGACAGCTGGAGAGATTGAACCTGATTGGTTCATTTATGAACCTCAAACCAGATACAAAAGGGAAAAGTTCTGCCTTGATCAGCATGTACTCACGTTAGGACAGGCTTGTGAGTGAGAGGGGCTTCAAAGAACCATAGCTGGAACCTGCCTCAGTGAATGCAGGGGCACACTGCCCCCAGGGCCCTCAATGGGGCTAAGTTGACAATTCAGGGGACCCTGTTGCAGAGTGGGGACATGGGTCCCAGCAACTGCAGGTTGGGCTGCCACTGGGATCCAGTTTCTTAGAGATAGGTCTAAAATATATTTATTCAAAATCCTAGGAGAGGAAAGATAATCAGGCCGAAGTAGTATTTGAAGAGATAATGAGTGATAATTATGCAGAATTGATAGATGAGTCCAATCTTTAAATGAAAGAAGTCCAATGAATCACAAGCAAGACGATTTTTTAAAATTCTGTATACCCTCATCATAGTGAAATTCATCATAGTGAAAACCAAAATCTAAAGTAGAAGAGTTAGACTATCAAATTAACTACCAATGGCAGCGGTGGAAACTGTTGTGGTGGAACATCTTTAGTGTACCAAAAGAAAACAGTGGTCAATCTAGATGTCTGTATTTCAATTCAAACATGTTTCAAAAAACTGTGCCTCCAAAAGACACTGGCAAAATTAAAAGGGAAGAAGAGTTTGTCACTAGTAGACCCTCACTTAAGGAAATTCTAAATATTCTTTGAGGAGTTGGATACTTTGTGAAAGATGAAGAGCAAAGGAAGTGGTATATGGTATATATGATTAAAGTAGTAGATGACTGATCAAACAGTAACAATAGTAATGGAGTTTCTGGATATACTGCATGACAAAATAGTACATGATTTGGGGAGAAGGCTAAAAGCAGTGAAAGTGTTCTGAAGTCCTTGATTTGGCAGAAGAGAAAAATACAAAGCTTAACTTCAGATTGATAACTAAGTTTGCTTGCTGAAATTTCTAGGATGGTCAGAAAAATAAGAGAAGGAAGAGTATAACTTCAAACTAGCCAAGGTAGAACAGAAATTAAAAGGACTTAATTTAAATACTCCCAAGAAGACAGAAAAGTTTAAGGGAAAAGAAGAAAAATAATAGAGTACAAATAGAAAACAAAGTAATTCAGACAGTTAAAACTATATTGTTTAGAAATGCAAGTACAAAGAAAAGCAAAGAAATTATTTTGAAATCAGATTAGTGGTTATGTCTAGAAGAAAAGGATATTGTCTTTGGGATACATATAGGTTTCATTAGCATTGTTTAATTTTGTAACCTGGATGGTGATAACATGGTTATTCAATTAACAAAACAGCATTTTAACATATCTAAATGTCTTTCACATCTCATAATTTATCAGTGAAATACCTATTATCTACCAAATAACATTTACATGAAAACTTAGATTGCTTCATTATTTAGCCTTAGGGTTTAATCTTAGCTAATTTTATTACAATTCAAGACTAGGAAGAAATAGAATTAAATTGAATCTTTGGGTTATTGTAAAATAGTGGTGGCTACAGTGCTCATTTCCCTATTGAATATTGTATATAAAATAGTTAAAATTGGGCCCTCTCTGGAGACACAGTGTGTTAACACACAGCATGAAGAAGCTAAAGCCACTTCAGCATGAGTTCGATCCCTGCCCTGGAGGTGATCCACATGGCAGGGCAGACCTCCCCTGACCCGCCCGATGGACCCCACAGCAATGTACTTCGTTGATCTGCCTGTTCTGCTCCCCACTCTGTCTCTGGTGAATCCTCTCACTGCCCCTGCACATCTGACCTGTACCCCATTTCTATATGCATAAATAAATAAATCTTTAACAAAAAAAAATAGTTAAAATTGGAGATATAATAAGGAATATCTCCCTGTATATGTTTCTTCATCTTCCCATCCTCCACTAATATTTTGCCAAAATGAACTTCAACTTGAGTTTAAAGTCCAGTTTATTAAAATATAATTTATGTATAGTAAAGGTCAGTTTTTTCAGTTGTACAGTTTTATGCATTTTGGCAGGTAAACCACTTGACAATCAGGATCTAGAATATTCACACTAGGGTTGCTTTTTATCTTACAAAAACAACTAACAAATCCTTCCAACAGATGTAAATGAGATTCTGCTGGAAAGGTAGCAAGTTATCTGCATAGGCTAGTTAGAGGCAATCTTTAATGATTCCAGAGGATTACTTTTCTGAAGCAGTAATAAAAATTTTAATTAAGAAATGTTTGTCTCGCTGTTTAGCAAGCAAAAGATTTCCTTTGTTGTCATACTTGATATGTGTGTCTGAAGCAGTTAAGTGTCCTTTATTTTCTGTGGTGTATAGATCATGAGGAATGAGCTCTTCGAGAAGCACTACAAAAATGGGAGCAAGTTTCTAACTTCATTTCCAGATGGGACAATACAAATATTGTATCCTTTCAACAAGTTATTTTTATTAACTTTATCTTTTCAGAAAAATAAAAATAACCAAGAAAAAAAATATTATTCAAAACCTTGCCACCCAGAAAAAATGTTCACATCTTATAATACTTCTTGCTTAACTTCTTAAAGGACTGTATATACAGTCCTTTAAAAGTCAGCTCTTCAACTAGTTGTTCATATTTTATAACTTGCTAGCTTTACATAATAATTTTATATAATAATTTTTAGTATAAAATATGCAATAAATGTAAGAATAAAATACCATTTTAATTACATATTTAATTTATAGGGATGTAATATAATTCATCTAATAGATTTTCCTCCTTATTGAACAAGGACAATTTTACATTTTTGTTCGCTATATGCTATATATATCAGCTAAATGAACAACTTTGTGCATTCTATGCTTGCATGCTTTTCATTAATTTCCTAGAATTCAGTATCTAGAGACCGAATTTCTAGTTAAGAAATTATGAACATTTTACTTGCTTTGATTGATTTTGCCCTTCCCTTACAAAATCTACTCAAGTTTACACATCCAGGAGCAGCATGTTATTTTTTTTTAGCACGTTATTCTTTATCACAAAAATTTAGTATCCATTTTATGGAACACTTAAGTTATTGATTACTTAAATTTCTGATGACAAGGTTATTTATTACTTTAACATAAGGTTCATTTAATATCTCATGGGAAAGTTAAAAAAAATAATTCTGTAAGACCTTTTTGTGAAATGAGGGCTTCACTTTAATGAGAAAGACATTTTAATGGTTTTCCTAATTGTGTAGTCAAATGCCAATAACAAACTAGAAAAATTACTTTCATGGCATAGGAAGTATAGTAAAGTGTTAGTTTCCTATATCCAAATGGTAAAGAGTATAGCTTTTATTTTAATTATATCAATGTTTTAAATGATTTCTCCAACTTTTGTTTTTAGTGATTATTTCATGACCTGACTTTAATCCTTCTGAATCCTCTTGAAGTCTGTGGCTGATTTTCAAAATGATTCAGGATTAGTTTAGTTTATTTCTTTCTCTCTGGACTTCTGATCAGTGTTGGTAAGACTCAGCATTGATAGAGAGTTATGCTCAGTACATTTTATTTTTTGATGACACTAAATGGCTTTATTTTCAGAGTTTGCACTGCTAATATATAGAAATGTAGTATATGTTCATATACTGATCTTGTAACCCCTAACTGCCACATTCATTTTTCAGTTTTAGTATAGCCTCGTGATTAAATAGCTTAGGGTTTTCTCTGTACAAAACTATGCCATCTGTAAATAGAGATATTTTCACTTCTTCCATTTCATTTATTTCCATAAAATTTTCCTCACTAGAATCTCCAATGCAATGGAGGGACAGCAACCATCTTTCACCGTTAAGTAGGATTTTAATTGTGGATTTTTTCTTTATCAGGTTGTGGGTGTTCCCAGAGTCTTATGAAAGGTGCTGGGTTCTTCAAATGCTTTTTCAGTGTCTACTATTCTTGGTGGGTTTTTCCACTGTTTATTCTATTAATAATACATTATATTTTATTAATTGATTTGTCAGATATTGAACCAATCTTCACTCCTGGGATAAACTCCACTTTGTCATGAGTGTAGAATTATTTTCATATATTGCTACATTCCATTTGCTAGTATTTCTAAAGGATCTTTGTGTCCCATAATATATTTGACCCACATATAAAGCATAAGATCCTTTGTAAAATATCACCCATTTTCAAAATACTTTCAAAGTACTCGCTCATAAATCAAATATAGTTCTAGAATAGACAAGGACTATTAGAAGAACTCAGATAACCTTATCTAATCTCAGTTACCCATCTGGAAATCTAGCTATCATCCGAGTGCCCAACAAAATAAATGGTTTCACTTGTGTAATCCAAGAAGACACACCCGCTAACCCTGCCATCCTGGCAGTGCTGAATTCTTCTGGCAGAAGTTCCTGCTATCATCCCAATGGAAATGTCTGGTAAGCTTCTAGGGTCTTCTTGCTGCCATTTTGGTTTTGGAATTGTGTGATATAAATGAATGACATAACTGTTCTATAAACAATAAGAAAATATGAGCGATGTATTTTCAGTATAGGGAAAATTCTAAGTAATTATATGGTGTTCCTAAAGACTAGGGGTATGAACCCATGTGATCTCTAGAAACCTGAAAATGTCATACTGTTTGATCCATAGGAATATTTTTCCAATAGATAGCTACTATAGTGTGTTGTTGTTTTAGATAGAATCTATAAATCTTCCTATTTCTTGCAAAGAAAACCTTTAGAGAAATTAAGATTATGATCTCATTTTGATCTACAAACTCAATCTCTATTATGTGGAATTATTTCACTTAACCTAAGAAAGTAAAATTTGAGTTCTAATTTCAAATACAGTTTGAACTTTTTGAGCTATCTCAGAGTTTTCTCTTCCTTCAAATGTTTACAAGTATTGGATGAAGCTGGAAAAGATGATGCTTAGTGAGATAAGCCAGAAGAGAAAGAAAAATACCGGATGGTTTCACTCATAGCAGGAGTATAATGGACCAGGCAAGAAAATAACAA